CACTCGAACCCCAGCTGAATCATCGAGACCCGAATGGAACACGCGGAACACGCCAAACGCCCACCGGGTACTGTCCGAGCCAATGCCTTACAGCAAGGGCACTTGGTTGTCTAACCAGAGTTGATCGCAAACGTCGCATGACGTCTGGAATCCACCTTTCGATTGACGCGTGGCTTCCGGAAAGATCTGCTTTACTCGCTCGCTGGATTCCGTGCCGACCGGTTGTGCCCTCGAGATCTCCGACGACAGTACAGCTCTGGCCAACTGGATTAGCCCTACGCCATCTCCTGTCACCGACAAGAGCTCTCAGAAGTGGTCCCCCGTCCTCGAACTCCTGCAACCGTGTCCATCTTTCCTGTCTTCTCCTTACATCTCCGTACTTCCGTCGTTCGCTGTCCCTGCGCCTCGCTCTCTCTATCTCTACCTGTTTATCCTATCCTTTTAATCCCTTCTCTACACCCATCCCTCGTGAGCTACTGTTGAGGGGTCGTCCCCCTGAGAGACAGTTACGGGGCTCACTTTTCGTTTCTTTTCATTTATCATCACTTACCCCCCTTCCCCCAAGATCTGCTTGGCGCACTCCGTGGCTTGGAGTTTTGAAGTGGTTCTTTGTCCAGTAGATGGTGTTTGACCACTTTCTGTCGATTGTAAACCATGATAATACGCATAGAAGCTCTGCTACACTTCAAGTACACTTTAACTCTGTTACTGTGTACTAAAAGGGGAAGTGTGCCATGCGCGGCGCGTTCCAATGAAGGCGAGGGGTGCCCCAGCTGCCATTAAGCAGGTTTAGTACAGCCTGGGGTGCTAGGGGAGGCTGCGGGCCAGAGGAGCGCGCGTGTCAACACATGTTGCAACGGTCAGTTTGGCTATTAACGCGTGACCAGTTCCTCGTTGCCGGTATTTCTCACAATGAACAACTCTGCTCCTCGCCAGATTGTGCTGTACGTGAGTGAAGAAGTTACGGTGGTGTTCGCGCTTGTCTACTGGAATGAGAAAAATGGCTGGGAGATGGCGGCACAAGCGGGACGGCTTTTGCTTTGTGCCAAATTGTAACAGCGGCTAACGCTCGGGTAAAGAGGTGCACTCCTTATTTCGGGTGCCGTTGAAGCTGACCGCCAGGAAGAATGGTGGCGGAACATCAAGAGAGGTGATCGAGTCCTTCAACAAGAGCAGCGCTGTTTGTGAGCGACACTTCAAAGCAAGGTTCAGGCAGCGAACTTTGAAGACGACTATTGATGGTAAGGTTATTGAGATCCTCGGACACCTGCCACTCTTATCAAAAGATACCATTCCTACAATTTTCTCTGATGCTCCTAAGTACCTTTTAAAATTGCTGCCGAAAAAAAAACACAGAAAGATCGCAACCTTAGCGATCAGATTCTCCCCAAACCAAAGCGAAGACGTGAGAGCAACACGTTGTCAGAAGCTGAGTCTAAGGACATTGATCAAGGCAGTTCAGTCGATGATGTTTCTGAGAAGAAATGCCAAAGAATGTTGAATGATGTTGACCGAGACGGTGCCGCTGATAAAGCTCTTGACTAAGAATTCCAAGGGCTGTCATAAGTTCACAATTCCAAATGAGTGGTCGGAAATTTTCCTGCCGTGTGTTAGGGACTCATTTCTTTATGTCGACTTAGAAGCCGACGCTGTTGAACATAGCAAGGGAATCGAAAAAAAGTCATTCAGATTAAGAAGCATGCTGCTGAAAGTGCTGCAACTATCGAAATTCTCATAAGAGCGGAAAAGAGGCACCAAGAGGAACTCGTAGCACGAGAATAGGCAGAGTTGCTAATACTGAATGCGAGCAAATTGACTTTGTATCCTAGTGTTGGAAGGGAGCCTTTATCTGGTAAATGCCCGTCGTTTATCGGGGTGTTCTGTTCGAAGAATTACACGCTTATAGTAAATGACTTCAGTGCTTGTGTTCACTGCAGATATCAGAGGAAGCTGATACTCAACCCACTTTCCAGAAAACGATGTCAGAAGATGTTTACGAAACAAAGTCCTCGCAATATACAACGTAACCTTCGGAGAACGAAAGCCAAGCTTAGCAGCGCAAAAATTAGTTTCAGTCGAATGAAAGCAGAAAAAATGAGCAGTTGTCTGAAGAAGCAGTAGCTGAAAGATTTAGAGGCCTTCGATTGACGCTTCCCGACCATTTAGTACGCGAAGCAATATAAAAAATATAGAACACACAGGACCGAACACAGACACTGGTTTTCAAAAATGAATGTTTAAGCTCAATAAGTCAACACGTTCAAATCCACCCAATACAATTGAAAGTACATCACTAATATATCAAACTTAGTAACTTTAAATAGAAAAGGGTTCGGCGGGTGTAAACGACCTCACCGAATTGTAGTCGTGTGTTTTTTTTTTTGTTTTTGTGTACGCTCGTTATAGTGAGAGAACCACTAGTGCCTATGCGGAAGGGCTGAATTTCACCATTAAGTGGCATTTACCGCATAAAAAGCCGCGACAACAACTTGTAAAATACACAAAACCGCCACACAGCCCGCTCACAGAGCCATCACGGCAGCGAGCGTAGCGCTCCTTCAGCCAGCAGCGTCCTCTAGTAGTGCGCGTAGCGGTCATCGCTAGGAGAACCTTGTTTCGGCACCGCATGGCACACTTCCCCTTCTAGTACACTGTAGCTATAGTGAACTAGAAAGGGGTATCTATAGGGTCTTATAAATACCTAGGCGTCACCTTATCATCTGGCCTTTCCTGGAACGCACACATCAACAACATCATATCATCCGCGAACAGATCCCTCGGTTTCATAAAGCGTCATTTGCGCGACGCACCATTAGACATAAAACTTCTGGCTTACAAATCCCTCATCAGGCCTAAACTAGAATATGCAGCACCCATGTGGAGCCCGCATCAGATATACCTAATAAACGACACAGAATCTGTACGAAATCACGCCACTAGGTTCATTCACTCTTCATAATCATACGACACACGCATATCATCCCTAAAACGTGACATTGATGTTGCTAATCTTTCTCTGCGTCGCCGCATCGCCAGCCTCTGTTTGATTCACAAATTTCTTCACCATTCCCTCAATCAAGCACCTTACATCATCCCACCAACGCGGATAGCTCACCGCACGACTCATCCTTATTCAATCTCACGCGCTCGCACTACTACTTTTGCTGCCTCATTTTTTCTTCGCACAGCAGTGAACTGGAATGGCCTTCAACGTGACATTGCAGCCATCACGTCTTCATGAACGTTTGCGCAAAACATGAATGCATATCGTTTGTCAGAAGATCACTCTTTGTAACTTGCATTTATTAGCCCACCCCTAATGTGTCACCCCCCCCCCCTCACTGGGGTCTTTAAGGTAATAAAGTGAAGTGAAGTGAAGTGAGGTATCTAGTTCACTGTACTGTAGCTCTGCCTTCCGCCTCGTTCATGCGGACTCTCAAACCGGGTGGTTGAGGGATGCACCACAATTTTTGCACGCTGTTGCCGCCGAATATGTCGGGCCTGCACGTTTCAGCGTCAGTGGTCGACTCTCTGTGCGCAATGGTTGTGTGGCGATTCTTTCTTTTATCTGCGCTTTTCGATTGACATTTACAACGAAGTCCTGCACTCAAAGTAATTCAGTGATGCAACACTGGCAAGTGAGCGCGGCAGTGGTTTGCGTTGCGGACTGAGTACACACCACTCGCATGTGCCGATGCTAGACACGTGCCCACTTGTTGCTGTGAAGATAACAGCGCTGCCTGTCAGCGGCTTCAGCTTGTGTAAGGCCAGGCGCTGCGACATGGGGAGGTAGGCGACGATGGTTGTTGGTAGACAGCGTGTCAGGGCATTTTCCTGCGTGCCATCAGCAGCATCGGTCGCAACCGTTTGACACTCGTGCGGTGCTTTTCAAAAATGTTGCCCGGAGACGTGATTGAGTGCACGTCTCGTGTGAACCCGCTCGCCGAAAGCAGGCAGACATGTACAAGTGTCAACACATCACCATAGACGGTATGGGTGGGTGAATATACGGATGCTAGGAGCGTCGCCTTTATATCGGGGCGATGACATGTGTGCCACAAGACTCGATAGAAAACAAAACGAAAACAAACCTTTATTTTTATGTTGACTTCATGTCTCACTTACTTCGAATAAATTAATCTCAATACAAAAAATAAAATGCACATTCATGTTCACGCTGCCTCTTCAGGCAGAGTGACCTTATTTTTCCCGTTATTTATGTCAGTTATCTCTACTTTTCAGCCACCAATACTCTAACCGCCTCTTACTTGGTTCTATCACAGACGTGTTCAGCTTTCCATTGTTGTCCCTAAGAGCCAAAGCCCCATGTAGGCTCATACTCACACGTATACCTGGATGGATATTGCCGCATTCAATCAGAACATGTTCCGTCGTCGGTTCGTTGGTTGTTCCTCAGAGTCCTGGCGCAACCCTCCCGGGGGATCGGCCATGAAATGGAAGGTACCTCATCTTTGCAGTGAAACTTTCCTTAACTCCCCCACAGCAAGAACATTGTTCTTCTTCTTTATTGAATGTCGCTTTACATGCCGCCATGAACCGATGCCCTCTAGAGGGTGTTGTATTGGTTGTGAAGGGCGCTTTTGTTGACCAGGCAGATGGGTGCGCTTTTCGTTTGTCGGCCATTGTACTCATCTCTCAGCAGATAGATGAACGACCCCAGAGAGGAGAAATATCTATAGGAGTCGCGGTTTAGACATGGAAAAGATCCAATAGTGCTGCCTTCTCGGATTGAGCTGTGGTTGTCAATGAAACTGCCTATAGAACATTACGCAACTAATGTCCCTTTCTATTTGCCCTTGACAGGTCACGTAAACGTTGTCGTAATCCGAAATCCCACTTCCTAGTCAATGCTCCCGTAGTGGGCACCTATCATACTATACCGCCAGCATTGGTTCACTGCAGGTTCTCTTACCTAAAAGATATGGTATTCGCCACCAGTGGTCTTGTACAAAAGGCACTTGACGAAACTGATGGCTGAGATGGCAGAGGGCTCCGCGCTGGGACGTTCACCGAGGCGCCAGACAAAAACGGTCACCTTCGACAAGGTCACGGTTTATGAATTTCCACGGGCACAAGGCTTTGCTTCGGTTCCCACTGAGGGAGGCATGACCCTAGGTGAGTACTTAGTCTTCCTGAAACACCCAACATATATGCATTAACCACCTGTAAATGTTTTCATACAGTTTCTGTGTATGCGACAAACAAGCTCTGGGAAGTGTTGTGTACAGTACTACGGACCTATGTACACATGCGCAATTCTGTGTGTAAATTCCGGATGTTGTATGACTTGAATAGGCGGTGTAAGGCGTGCCCATATACATCGGATTCGGCTAAGTGTAGCCAACACTAAGAACTTGAGCGAAATTGTGCAAATGAGGTCGACACCGTGTGCAATGCAAGGGACGACTTAGCCTAATTAATCTGATTTTGCAGGATCCTAATTCTACTGAAAGTAGCCCTAATTGTAGAACTTGTCAGCAAAAACTGTAAAGTTGGTATTTTAAAGATGTTCTAGGCTCTTGGACAAGCACTGCATGTGCAACTCGCGCAGCGAAATTCGATGCCTTCCAATAAGTAGAACTACACTTTTGGGATCAAAATGTATCCATTTTAGTGCGAACGTTGAAACGTAAGTTCTGTTTCTGCTGTGCGCTGGATGCTGCACTCCGTTACACGCCGCACTCGTCTGCTAAAAAGTATTAGAAGCGCGGCCCGGGAAATTTCTTCCGTTGAGAGTGAAGGTGTAATGAAGAGAAAATGTGATTTTTCTCGTATTAGTGTACTACTCTCTTTTATTACTAAAATGTAGGGGTGTGTGAATAGTAGCAAATTTTAGAACCAAATCGAATATGGATGACACTGACCGAATTGAATACTATTCAAATGGTCTTCAAATAGCATTTCTTAAACGAGGTTTCGAACTATTTCGTAAACAGGTCTTGAATTCCACGACATTTGTACTGCAAAAATTATTCACAAATTTTAACAAAGCAACATCGAAATTATTTCTAAGCGACAAAGGCTGTTATTTATGCATTGTGGAATAAGCCTGTATGCTTAAAGACTATAAAATTGTGGATATTTTGTAACTTTCATTGTAATACTACAGTAACTACAGTATTTAATTTGCCGCTATGTTATCAGCTTTTAAAGTTGTACTTAACAGTTCAAAAATGTTCTACTGAGCTTCGTATACATGCAGCTAAACGCTTAATGAAGAGTAGGTAAGCCAGTTACACATAATGTGCCTATGCATCAAAGGCAGATAAACATCATTGCTGAATATTGAATTTGCAAGAACAATTCACATAAACAAAATAACACTTGCATTGGCTGCTAGCCAGTTAAACGTTTGCGAAGTTGCAATTCAGTATTGAAATGCAGCCGTAATCTCCACATACCCATGAACAATGTCATTGCGGTAATCGTGTATTGGCAACTCGTTCGCTTCGTCCACGTAGCGGAAACGTTTTCAATCGGTGATAAATATAGTTTCGGTATTTGGTTTAAGCTGGGGTGCAAGCATTTAAGTACTTGTGTTGTTATGTTGTAGAAAAGAGTCACCTGCAGCACCCTACAACATAAGCAAGATAGGCACATGGCATACATCGTTTTCGCGAATAAATTGTGGTATTAAAAGTCTTAAGAAAATCACGCCAATTTTTTTGAATTACCTAAACCACATAATTTGTGCGATTGATACCTTGTTGACAAAAAGCAGTGGAAAGAATATTTAATGAGCGACCCCAGACAGCGTGTTTGAATATGATCAATCATTCTCGAGTTCATTTTCTCTGTGTTCAAAAGCATCAGTTTTTATTTGACATTCGATGTTTGGCTTGATTATAGGTGCATATTTTTCTATATATATATATATATATATATATATATATATATATATATATATATATATATCAGCTGTATTATGCACTTGTGTTTTTGTTATACGTACAATTTCTACACAGCATTGTTATTGATTTTTGTTACGTACATTCCGGTTCATTTTAATTCTTTCTTATTTTCTTCTACATGTATACGTTACTTTTCAGTGTTTGCTGGTTTTTACAATTTATTGTCAGTTACAATTTGCTGCTAAATTTGCTAGTTTTGCTTGCTTGCATGTTGCTTGCTTCTACGTTGTATGTTTGTTTGTATTTATTTGTTTTACATGACCACGCATCTGCGGCCAAGCTGCTTTAGGATCAGGAATCTCGTCAAGCTGCTTTTTAGCTGATCTTAACTCCTGTCTATGTATCTCTTTTACTTTCTAATCTGATTTGTATTACGTTGCTTTGACCATATCCATTGTATGAAAACATTAAATCATTGCAACTGTAACATCGTCCTTTAACACGCTTCTTGAAAAATACTGCTAAATAAACTGAAACTGAAGCTGAAAAAAAAAAACTCAAAGCAACCCCACGCTCTTCTAGCGTACCGTTCGTTACTTCAGCGTTTTCCGTTTGTATTGATTATCAAAAATATTTGAAATTTCAAATATACATGATTAGATTCTTTTACCAAATTGAACAGAACGCCATTCGATTAGTTTTTTGAATTTTTTTATGTATTCACATAGCCCTACTGAGTTTATCACGCCGGCTGCGAGAAGGTGCTTGGTAAGCCAGAAAACTTGCAAGAAGAAAAAGTGGGGAGCGATGCCATCTTGAAGCTTGGGTGCCGATTGCCCTGACGTCATGGATTTTGAAAACATGAAGTAGTGCCTGTGCAGTTACTAATACAATAATGCGAGATAAATCAATTGCCCTCTAAGAAGGCTATGAGAATTAGCATAGGTTTCAGAGTAATTTGTTAAAGTGGTCGAAGTACGACTGAAGTACTTGAAGTCCGTGACTTCACGTGCGCAGAATTTAACCACAATGTTTAAAAATTTAACTCTGACATTATTTTTCATCTATGAATGAGTCTATGGTGCTGATATTGACCACATGATTTTGGGACGTTAAACCCCACAAATCAATCAATCAATCTGATATTGACCACGAAGTTTCCAAAGCAATATTTATTAGTCTAAGCTGATTCTTCTTTATCTCATCTTCAATAGCTCATCTTACTTGCTACTGGTGCAGTCGCTGATAACAACCATAGCTACGCTTCTCTTATGGTTAGCATGCTCAAACTTCACGTTTTCTCGCGCATATAACGACTGTGCTTGTTTTATTCTTGTGTCTTTTTCTAGTCCATATTGCGCAATCTGTTGGCTTGCTTGCCGAAACTTCTCATTTTTTCTCAGAGGCAGCAAATTCATGCTCGTTCTGAAATATTACAAATGTTGCCTAAAAATTTTTAATAAACTTCTACTTGTAAATATATAAAAAAATGAATAAGAGTGAAGGAAAGTGTTGCATATAAACAATGTGTCCCAGGCAACTATAGCTAGAGTTTTAAAACAGACCGAACTATTCCACGACGATGCAACTGAGTTAATAATACTAACTGTTGCTTCAGGTAGCTTACACTGTTGTTGTGTTTTATTTACTTACTTAATTATGCAATATTTTGAGCCAAAAAAGTGGTTGAAAAACTTTAGTAAGAAAGTGGCAGATCACATTGCAAGATATTGTTTTGGCAGTCTGTAACTTTACTAAGTGTTGATGTGGCAGTCTGTAACTTTACTGGGTGTTAGTGTTTTTCCGCTTATCACATGCCCACATAATAGTCACTGTCGAAAGAAAATAACGCCTAGACCATTTGTTAGATACTTTTACCAATGCATGCGCAGCAGCTGTTTAGAAAACCATCGATAGAGAGAGCTACCACATTTTCCCCGTGAAAAGTGACAATTTACTGGTTGATAGTGTTTGCTCTGCGATTGTAGAGACTATTTCACGGACGGTCTTCAGTGTCTCCATGTTGGGCTGTTAATCTTTGTGGTTTGCATCTTTAACAACTAAACGGACAGTTTAACGGTAGACACGTACACGTGGACTCTGTTTGGTTTTACATAAATCTTTCTTGGCGTTATTAATTCATATTGCAATAAAAGAACTAAGAAAACATTAACTTGACAGCCCGAAGGCAGCGCCCACATGCCTTGGGTAAAATAGTCTATACGAAAGCGTATTTTGAGCATACCAAAATGCGTGTGCACTAGCAAATTATTCTTTTAGGCAAGCAGGAAAACGCGACTGGTTTTTCTATTTTGAGTTTTTTCCACTAGTTATAAAGAAATCAGTAACGTACGCTCATGTATGTGCGCACGCGCACACAAATACACATACACACAAAACCACACACACACGCAGATAGCCACAGATACACTGGAAAAACATCGTCTAGCATAAGCTGCCACCCTGGACAAAGTGACTGAGACTTACCTGAACGCATGTTATCTTCATTCACTCAAGCACTTATATAAATGTGAGTGAAATGAGAAAATGGTCAGAAAAGGCTACATAGTTAAATGAAGAAAGAGCATGGAAAGAAATGCTACGCCAGTCAGAATTAAAGAAGGCCAGTGTGGCATGCGCCATACGTGGAATGGTTTTATGCACGTACAAAATGGTTCTTATTGCCGATTAAAAAAAATGATAGGTACGCCGGCCAATCAGAAACTGGAGCCACTCCCAAACAAACTCTGCACCAAAGCTTTCCACGGGCTCTGCATTGTAGTAACGTAACCATTTAATACAATGAGCAAGCATATGCTCCTTAGCCTGGCGAACTTTAGAGCGGACACAGGCCTGGTGGCATGACTTGCACTACTGCCTTCCGTTGGGCTGTAAACGTAGACTATCCGTTTTGAAAATATACCATTAAATCTCATTCATTGTGTGCCGATTGCCTACGAGAAGGCCAGGCCGGCAAGTGTGGTCACCTCAGTCATCTAACGCGCAGTATTCCGAATCATCGAAAGTGACACTGTATTCGAAAGCTATAGAGAACTTTAGCTAGACTTCGCCTTCGCGTAACACCCAGTTACTGTGGGTCACGCGTAAAGGAGAGAGGCCTGACCCGCAGGTCGCGAGTTCAAATCCTGGCTGCGGCGGCTGCATTTCTGATGGAGGCGGAAATGTTGTAGGCCAGTGTGCTCAGATTTGGGTGCACGTTAAAGATCCCCAGGTGGTCAATATTTCCGGAGTTCTCCACTACGGCGTCTCTCATAATCATATGGTGGTTTTGGGACGTTAAACCCCACAAATCAATCAATCAATCAAAGGAGAGAGGCCGGATAATTTGGGCCATCTGGCGGCGCTAAGATGAACCCGGCAAGCACATAATGTTTATCGCACAAGCCTAGTGTATTTTACTTGTGTAGTGGGGTGGATCCTCGACAGTGACGTAATTTAAACTCAATTGTCCTAAACATTCTTTTATATGAGACATTCGTCAAAAAGAAACCCGTCTTTAAACGTATTTGTTGGAAGTTGTCACCAGTTTCCATACTACCGTATGGTAATCCGGCACTCCGTGAAACATTTACATTGCACAAATGAGCTAGCACTAATAGCTGTGTACGTTCTATCTCTTTAGCTGGTCCTTTTTTTAGGTACACGAAAAAATAGCCACGATAGAGCTGCTCTCAGTCGCCCTTTTCACGCAAGGTTGGTTGTGTTGAAATAGGTGTTGCTATTATCAAATTTTATTGTATGTCCTTAGGTGTATTTGGTCCCTTCAATAATAATGTGCGTTAAAGCCAGCGATAAGAGTGTATTGGAGCATAAAAGAAGGCTGCATAGTGGCAGAGCAAAATAATAATAGCGTTATTTACACATACATGCCTTTCGTAGCCTAACCAAGTGGTTTGGTAATCTGAGCACGAGATTCACTCAACTTTTTTTAATATGGCAGGTTTAGGCTTCAGGCACGTGGAAGAATACTCAGTCCTCATTCGTCAACATGTCGACCAGCCAAGACTGCGTTTTGGTGCTGAACAGTCCGGCGATATCACAGCTGTACAGGCTGTCCTGAAAGACGGCATGACCTCTAGTTACCCAACGCCATGTCACAGCGATGAGCCAAAGGTAAATGGTCCGACAGGACTTTACTACAGGCTAATATACTCGTCAGTTGTGTGTGAAAACAGCCCAGCATTCTCTGGCTGCTTCTTATTTTTTTGTGGACAAATCGAAGTAACCCCCTTTAGGAGGAAAGCAACTTTTTGTCAAATACATGCTGATAGCGAAATAATAAAAAAATTAAGTAAAAAGTCTTCTTTGTGGGGAGAAAGTCTGCGATAATAATATTGCATGGAATTTCGATGTGCTGCGGTTCACGCACGTATAGCTCCATCACGTGATGGCTGCCGCATCTAGACACAAAATTGTTTTTTTTCTGTTATTTCTTTGCTTAAAACTTGATTATCGTCTGGCATGGCTGAGAAGTTGTTTTCACAAAAATAAAAAGCACAAGCACGCCGCTGGTGCCTGGACTGTTTTGCCTTCATGTAAACTGATTGCTTGTAAGTCATTGCTAAAAGTTTCCGACGTTTCAATATCACCGTCAAGGAGAGCTGAGAACATGCAGACTTTCATATTGAAGCATATCACTTTGTTATTGCTGATAACTGCCATACCAATGGCTAATAATTGTAACTTGTTTTAGCCAGCGAAGAAACAAACGAAGCATCACTTATTGAACCTCTTTCCCGATATACTTAGTCGGCTATCACAAGCAAGTTGTGCGAGACATTTGCAGAAGAATATTGTTGATAGTGGCATCAGATCTGTCGCACGTGATGTCATATACTCTATCGTATACGTGTTTAGATTTCAAAGCACACAGGACAAGCATAATAACAAAATTTGACTCTAGGCAGGCGTTAAACCTTCGTCCGCAAAAGGGAAACGTGCACGTGAGATCCCAGTCCTGCGTCAACTTAGGCTGTAGCATAGTATGGGCCTTTTTCAGGAGACTTGTCTGCGCAGGCGCAGCTGTCTTGACGTAACCTGAGAATTGTGTTTTGTGGCCGTCACGCTGCGGTGACAGGTGCAAACTAAGCGGCACCTGACGTCACAGGTTTGCGTATTGCTCCGAAAGCTGCCACGGCCACGTCTTTTTCGACTGGCACGCGGAGGACAACTTCAGAAGCAACGAACGCCCAATTTCAATATTGGTGATCTCCACTGGAGGCGTTGTTCAGGCTTACAAGACTCATTGCGTTTAGGTACATATAATGGAGGTCGTCATGAAAAAAAATTACAGCATATCCATGGCTTGAATGATGATGAGTGGGACGAAGCGTCTATCAATCCGTCCATGCTTCTGTCCGTCCGTCCACCCGTCCGTCCATCCCTGTGTCAGTCCATCCGTACGTCAGTCCGCCCGTACGGGCACCCGTTCGTGCACCTGTCAGTGTGTCCACTCGTCCATCCGTGAGTCTGTCTCCCCGACCATGCGTCCGTCCGTTCATTTAATGAATACTTCTTGTACCACCATCTCACTTCTTTTTATCATATATTCATCGTGTACAAGTACCGCCATCCAGCGGACAATCCAATGACTAAACGAGAGTATGTACTACATTTCTGCTGTTGGCGAGCGCCTTAATTGTTGACACCGAGAGCTTGATAACGAAGCCGTGCTACGTTTTTCGTAGCATGTGGACATGCAGATATGTGCCCGAGGGCGGGTACGTGCCACAGGCTGCGCACTACGACGATGGCAGACGCACAAGCCACGGAGCTTCGCCCCTAAAAACAAAACTGGCACAGACGCAAGTCCATGGTGGGAAATCTGTGTTTCGTGTATTCCTTGCAGGAGGTCGCTGTTGAGAGAAATAGCCAGGATGGACAGCAGCAGTTGAAGCCCTTGCCATGGCATTGTCGCCGCAAGCTGCTTCTGGACAGTGGCGTCAGGAAGATTGATTCTTCTGAAGCCAAAGAGTGCCGATACATCAGGGCGTCGCGGAAACGCTGCGGCTGTGAGTGCCAAGGCCAGTGCCTCCGAGAGGCTTGTTCGTGCTTCCTGAACGGCATACCCTGTCAGGTGAATCCTGGCCTTTTGCATTTGTCAAGGTTTGCGAATATGCCTCACTTAGACCGTTTTTACTGTAGCTGGAACTTCGAGTTCACAGCACGCGTGATGCTGCGGACTTGTTTGTGAGCTATATATAGAGGCCGTACGACAAACATGTTTTCACGCTCAATCTACAGTGTCTGTATAGGTACACGCAAGATTTTTTTTAATATTTCATGGAATGGTTGCGATTAAAAATGCCTTAGAGTGCACTGAATGTTACTGAAGTCGAATATATCTGCTAACAAAATAAGAGATATGAGCTGCTTTAAAGATAAGTATATCACAAAAGAACTGGCAGATCTCACGTACAGTAGAAATCGGTGATATGTGAAGCCCGAATGATGAATTAAGGTTGATAGCTACGCTCAAATCACCACAATGTTAAGAGGTCCACATGAATTTACCATACACGACTTCCGCGTCATGATTATCAAGTTTGGATGTGTCGTTTACCTTTGTCATTTATTCATTTTGCGTGGTGCCAAGTTTAGTCTATGTGGAGCTAGCGGAACAACCGTGAGCATGCTGTGAGCGTGGTATGTTGTCATGTTCTTACACTACACGAGTCTCATGATTATCACCTTTGCACAAGTCATATAGCTTCGTCATCCACTGACGTCACGTAATACCAAATATGACATATGTGAAGCTAGCAAAATCGCCATGAGCGCATCATAAGTGTAGCATGTGTTCATGTTGTTACATGACACGCATGTCGTGATTATCATGTTTGGATGTGTCATTTACCTATGTCTTCCGTTCGCGTCACCGAATTTGGTATATGTTAAGCTAGCGAAACGTTTGCCAGCACATCATGAGCGTAGGATGCACTCATGTTGTTTCATGACACGCATCTCATGTTTATCGTGTTTACACCAGTCTTATACCTTTGTCATCCATTCCGGTCTCTTAATACCAAATTCCGTATAAGTGAAGCTAGCGAAACGACCGCCAGTGCATCATGAGCGTGGCATGTAGTGATGTTGTTACACGACACAAATCTCATGACTATCATGTAGGGGCCTGTTGCTTGTCTTCGCCATGCAATCCTGTCATACTATACCAGTTTTGCAACATGTCATGTGAACAAAACCACCGCAAGAGCAGCAAGACCATAAAATATATATCATGATATTCATGACATACATGTCTTGGATTTTATGTTAAGACTAGTCGAATATTCTCGTCATATATTCATGTTATGGCATACCGAATTGGGTGTTGATACCATTATCCAAACGGCCAGGAGAGCTAAAAGTCGTGGGCAGCTAGATAGATAGATAGATATGCTCAAAGTCGCCGAAGTTGGCTAAGAAATGCTCCACATTTAAAAGTGGCTGCCGCTGTGTTTTGACAAGTTGCCTTTTAGAATAGAGGTCAAGAAATGTGCTTTTTTGCTTATGGAGGTTGCCAACATAGCAGGAAGTGGCACATTTATTCATAAGAAAGGCTGCATTATTTCTCTCAATATAGGGCATAATGGATCAGCGGTGTGTATCTAGTGAGTTTGTTTCCCTTTAAAAAGACTTTCTTTTAGGAGGCTGAAAATCTAAAGCACTAGATTCCTCCATACTCTTGGCCCTTTTTTTGAAAGTTTATACGTAGGAGTATGTTAGAAACACCTTAAGTAAAACGGCTTAACTGTGATGAATTTGAGAACTGCTATACCAAGAAACTGCAACTTGTGAGCATGTGTGAATTTAGATAATCGAGCAGCTTTGTTTCCTGATTGTGGCTAGGATGCTGTTAGTCGGCCTATATGAGAAAACAAAATTCATGGTAAGAGCAATCTCTCCAAAGTAGTGGTCCCATTCCAGCAGGATGTTTTCCGTTGTTTTTTCTGACCATAAGCACTTTTGTAGATATATTATGGCGCTGTGCAAATTTTTTTCTGCAGTTAAAAGAAGACAGCAAGAACTGCTGTAAAAAATCTTAGTAAAGAAAAATGTATGAACAAATATTTACAGAATAATATTTTATTTTGGAGTAGATATGTAAATCTGCGTATAGAGTGCCTATGAACTTTTGTGAATATTTGTCTACTTCCTCATAATATAATTGTTATATGTTAAACATCCTGAAATGGTAATGTGTAAGCATTCAGAGTAAAGAGTTCCCCGTCTCAATATGTTGTCATCACCAACACTACAAAGAGTTGCGGCCATCCACAAAAGTGCTTGACGGTATGCTTTTTTTTTTAGCCTTGCAGCATCCCCAAAGTATGGATTAAGTAAGACTAGCTTACCGTGACGTAAAGGGCATCACTGATATGGGAGATTAGGTAAAACCACGTGGTTAACAACAATTAGCCTGCATGCAACAGCTTTGGCAACGTATGTACTCTTTTCTGTTCTGCGTATTGATGAATCGTAACATGGCTATTCATCATACTGTCATACATGTAGTCACACGAAGTTATATCAGGTAGCACATATGAAGGGGCTCTTCATAGAACCGGTCACCCTTGATAGTGCCCATCGTTATAAGTGATCGCGCAGACACAATCATTTCTTTGAACAGTCGCTGCCAGGAGCGCCAGTTCAAATTATCGGCTTCTTCACATTGATGAGTACCACTACAATAACCTACCAACATTAAGAATCATGGAAGCGTCATGTAAACATTGCTGCTTGATTATTTGGAACATATGCAAAGTACGCATTGGATTTTAGATCGACAAGTTTCATTGGTTTCTGGTTTCATTAGTTCGTGCAGTTCTTACGTCTTGTAACACAAGGCTTCGGTCCACACCGGTTTCGAATGTACCTGCACTAGCGTAGTTAAGAATTTAAGCTAATAAATTTCAATGATTTATTCAAGTCACATTAAACTTTGCAAGATTCATTTTTCATTCACATCACGTGCAGGTCGAGAATGCGTCATTTCCTTGCAGCTGCAGGGAACAGGCATGCGAAAATCCGTGTGGCCGTCGTCAATACAGTCCCGATCTCGCTCACGAGCACTACAGGCACACAATTACGCGCCTCGAAGCAGAGCAGGCTGCTGAAGAATTGTCGCTCTTGGGTTTGAGACTCGAAGAAGCGATAAAAGACACAAAGCAAGACGACTTCCATGGTACGTTTCATATTTTTTATCAATTTTCTTCTCATGAAGTTCAACCAAGTGGACCTATACTGCACATACTTTATGACAAACCGTCCACTTGATTCAATAGGAGCGTCCTACAGATCATAAGAATAGCTTCTTAATAAGCTGGCACTGTCAATCAAATGATCCGACTTGTGAAAAGTTTCGATCACCACGTGTGCACCAAAGTAATGACGTGGGCATTTGCGACAATGGCGGCTCGAAAGATTCGGCATGGCTTTTTGTTTCATGTTTCACATATGCCTACGAAAGCTGTTTGATACAACAAATTTAACTGAATGACTGACTCATGCTGTGAAGAAACATTTGATGTGTGTGGATATTTTCTTTGCATCTAGCTTATAGCGGTACTCAAGACTCCATAGTGATATGCTACTTCTACCTTGCATGAGTAGTCTTAAAACAGTTTAGATATAAAGGAACGTAATGTAAAGATATTTAGACATTTATAGATAGGGCGTCATTTTCACCTGATTCCCAGAATACCCTGGACTCTCTGAGTGTGCCTGCAATTTTAAAGAAACAAAGCATTTGGAACTAGTGCTGTTTGAGCATCTTGTTGGCAACAAAAGCTCAACTGAAAAAAAAAACACCGTGTTTTGTGAAGTAATCTTACTGTCTGTTGTACCTGCTCTTTTGCAATAATAAAATGTTAAACATGTGCTTGGTTTCTTCGCTACAATATTTTGTAGTTTTAAGAGGCATTTCCTCTTCTTTATTGATTCTTTATCTGCTGAGAAATTCCCGCATGATACATCTTCAATATGTGTTGCCCAGCAAGACTTCTCATAAGCTAGAATGTGGTATATTTGCCTTGTACAAGGATAATAAGTACAGTAAGTACTAGTAAAATGTGAAATTGTTAATACGTATTACTAGAGTACAAACACAATTACTGGCTGTCCTTTGTAGTTTTTTGTGTATTCATTTCGATCTTTTAAATAATTTCACCACATTTTTGCCTTCGACATATTTCTTTTAATACTGTGTGTTAGGCAGCATTGTTCATGTGTTGCAGGCGCGTTCAAGCTCATTTCACAGAACAAGCATGTCTCCCTGTTCGGACTCTGAAGATAATGATTTTTACTATTTTCTACGACCAAACGCACACTACTGTGTTGCTTTCGAAAATCTGCAAAGTGCATTTTGGAAGACAGCATTGCGCTTTATACCTCAAATAAAAGGGGTGATTCTGATTAAGTCTTGCTTTAGCTATCCGCCCCGACATCGAGCGGAGTCACCGCCTGGGGGCCACTGGCTGAAGCGCACCTAGTGGATATTGGTCCCTGCGTGGTCTGCTAGCCACCTAAGGATAGTATGTGCATGTGCGTCATGTTCATCCTCAAACAGCGGTTTGTCTCACTCTGTTAGCCCAAGTTAAACTGCTTGTACATTGGCTTAACCCTATCTACAGAAGTGTATAGGCTGGACCACCTGTATATTCACTGCAATAGGATCAGTTCATGCACTTGCCGAGAGTGCTATGTATTTTAGTCGTACCTTTTGTTCTCCAGGATAATTTCGGGTTAGGTGCCATTTTGTGGCTGTTGCGCATCGTAAAGTGCCCTTGGCATCTTGCCAAACAAAGTAAATATTTGATATTGTGTATATTTAGCATTTTAGCTACTCAGTGATATAATAAATTTTGCTTTTTATGTGTCGGACTGTGGTGCTGCTGCACAATGGTTATGTGATGGGCTTTATTTGTGTATGAAATATCTAATAATTGTACGGTATTGGCCCTACTATAGCGAAACATCTATATTGAGTAAATTCTGACACGTACTCGAATCGGTCCTTAAAGAAACAGAAAATGACACAGAAGTGATTGAACTTTAATCACAGTGCGTAATTTGAACATTGGCTGAAATGTATGCAGACACACCCATCTGCATTAATTTTATTTACTTTAAAAATGCAAATTGTCAAAAGTAATTCAGATGACTTAGCTCGGGTATGTTGTATAAATTCGTGCAAAACATCATCTTCTTTTTCATATTATCTTGAGAACTTTTGTGGCATTATTATGGAATGATGGAAATGTGTACACTATTTGCTTGAAAACAAACTATGTACTTCTTTGTCCTATCAAACAACTGAGCCTTTGTTGCATCACTGTCATGCAGATAATCAATCGAAGAAATCCATGTGCTGCATGGTTACGTTTTTATACTGTGATGGATTAAGAACAAGCATGCTAAAGTGGTGCGAGCAACGTAGCTTTCCTGAATAAGCTAAGAAACTCTCGTACACTCACTTCACGGCAAAGGCGGCACCAGAATTCGTTTCCTGGGAGGGCACGCATGAAAAGTGAGTTCGTTCAAGGGGGCAGGGAGGCTGGGAACATATGCTGTGTGTTTCAAGTATGCTTGGAATTCGGGGCAAAGGGGTTGCAGGCAAAACTTTTAGGGAGCTCCAGCTTCCCCATATCCCCTTGTGGTGATGCGTATGTTACATGGAGAACTGAATAAAAAAAATAATGTGGATCTGTAGTGGCATTTATTTTTGTTCATCACCAAAGAATATGGTATTTCTTTTTTCTTTCTTTTTGTCTCTTTAGCGACCAAGACCAGCAAGCGTGAAGCAAATAATGAATTCAGTCGCACTACAGAAGTGCGTAGCAGGCTGGACACAAGCTCAATGCTTCCAAATAAAAATGCAAGAAGCGTGGCATAGTGCGAAAACGCAGATAGTCACCAAGCGCGAACATCCCTTTCAATGACACATTGCGTTCCTCTCACAAGTAATAATATCGTTCGGTGAGCTTCGTGCATCCTTTTGCAATGGACAACATACACATTACGAGTAGGCTGCAGTGAAAGCATTTTATTCGCTAACAATCGGCTCACACCGCTCATGAAAAAGCATGGCTGTGTACGTATGCTCGCCTGCCGGCTGCCTATCTATACTAGCACGGTGATGGCGCTGGCACCTGTAGCCTGATCTCGGGGCAAAGGGAGTATTTACTGGTGACCTTATTGAACTATTACTTATTTAGGATGTTCTACATTTGTGTGACAGACGATTATCATATTTTAACGGCATGACGCAGGTCTGGACAAGCTGTCGGAGGACTTCGAAGAGGGCCTGCTCGTTGACAGAAGCTTCGTAATGTGGGAGCCACTAGCCGTCGTTCCTCTAGTTTCAGTCTTGGACGCTTTTGCCATTATTTCTAGTCGGCAACAGCGAAGTCTCAGTGCCCAGTTCACCCACACAGACCACTAGCCACACAGTGTCAGAACCGCCTCAAGCAGTGTTTCTTTGTGTGTTCTTGAGCTCCCCTACAAGTGTTCTACTGTTTGAAGATCTGTCTACGAACGGGACATGGTGTTATATTGTGACACGATGTAGTCAACTCATTTCGTTCACTACGGGTATTTGCAAGAAACTCAGAACTGCGTTAATATAAGTATTGCATTTTGCTCAAGGTGCCACGAGCTTAAGTGGTCGTGTTGTAGCTTATTTTGATGCATCGCTCTTTATATATGAACAAGAAAATTAAGCTGATCAAAATGCAGAGGTTAGGTTGTAACTCATGGCGTTTGTAATCAATTTAACGCGCGACAGGCACCGTGTGGTGGGATGTTTGTTTGTAGTTTAACAATGCAACTATTTCCTCACGACATTGCATAAAGCTAAAACAAAAATGACGTAGAATATGCCTATCAAAAGCAAGAATCGCATGAATAGTGTGTGAAAAGTAACGAGGTCTTTAACCTAACACATACTGAACTTGTCCTTCGTGAATACTCTTTACTTCCACGACTCAAGTGAGTGCAGACCAGGGCAAATGCTACTTTCGAAATAGACTAAAGGTTCGATTATGCCTGGATGTCTTTTATATCATAGTCTTTTAGTAAGTTACAAAAATTGGTATGCAAATACAGTAAATTGTTATAGTAGTGCTCGTGCTTTTTTTCTCATTCGTTAACTGCTCCAAGTTTCAGTGGCAGTGCGTCCCCTGAACGTCATTTTTTTTCATTAGGAGCGCCTAAGCAGACAGGCAACAATGAGACATGAAAGTTCTATGGTAATCTATAGAAAACTTTCTTTGGTATTCGGCTGCCTTCTCTGGAATATTCAAAACCGCATGGATCTAGACAGGACAAATGGTAATGTATTCTCTACCGTAGTTGTGCATAGTAGTTCTGTAAATCGCAAACAGCATGTAATGTCATTAGGAATAACGTACAAAGCTTTTTCAAGACTTTGCTTGGAAAACACACACTTGTCTTGTTACGTACTAGTCATTGTATACAGTTCCCTGCAAATGAGTTATGTTTTGAGTTAAGTTTTTAAACGCATGTACATGCTCATATTGACTGTTACACTTCCATCGTGCTGCTTTTTTTTACATTCAATGAACTGTGCAATATTTTGATGCATATAGTTTATACAGACCAACAAATCCTCATTTTAATTTTCATACAGTTATCCCATTGCTTCCATACAGTGACGAAATGTGATAATTGCACTTCCAGTAACCCTGGGTGTCAAGTTGCATGAATACAAAGAAGTGACTACTTAATTTGACAAAGAATAAAATAGAATATCCAAATGTTTAAATAAGGCAATAATTCAGCTGGGTTCCTTACTGGTTATCGAACAAAATTTGCCGCAAATGACGCAACTCCTCCTCGGTAATTTCAGTTGATTGGTAATAGGTTTGGATGCTTTTTTCACATTTCCGTGCCTATATAATTTATTTCTGTGTTGTGTACCGCCAAAACCAGGGTATCCACCACGCCCCAGGAAGATTATCTGGAATAAAATGAAAATCGGGTTCGTCGTCGTATTCTCACCTTTATCCAATAAGCGGGAGTACGATGTTAAATTGAGCAAGCAGGTAGAAATGCATGGTGCTTGTCAAATTCTCAAGACTGGACCATGGAAGGATAGACATGACGCGGTACGTGAACTTAAGTTTATTTTAAAAAATAATTGAGCTTATTAAACCAGATCAAAAGCGTATGCGCCTGCTCATTGTCAAAAATGCTAATAAGCACATAAAATCATACCAAAAGATCACAAGGTCTGCGCAGCCGGGGCTGCGCAGGCACATGCAAAAGCTAGAAGTGCGGCCTTTCTAAAGTCAGCACGATTTTTTGCTCGACCAGACGCCTGTACGAGCATTTTTGCAAAGGAGGTTAAAAGAGTATTAGCGAGCTTACCCCCGTATTCACAAACGCTCTTCGACTCGACTTTCACCCTTCACTTGACAGAGTTGAGCACTGCGCCGCTGGTCGGCTGAAAATGACGATCGCTGCTCTACTCAAGAATAGCAGCAAATTATCACTGATATGCAGTGACTTGCCCTGCCTAGAGATGGCGCTCCCATCGGATTTCTCGAGTGAAGGTGGAGCGTTGAGTGAAGGGGCGTTCTAGAATACGGGGGTTAGCGGTAGAATACTCAATTGCCACACAGGAAGGCTCGGTTTCAAAACCCATCTAATCAGTGATTTTTTTTTCTAGCAAGAGCTGTAACTAGGTCACAACGCCCGTTTTCTGGCAACGTAGTCGTTTGCCACCGCCGGTGCTCGTAGCTGATATCGGATGAAAAAAAAAGCGAAATGAAAAAATATTCAGAATAGAATATGGTTCGAATCAGGCTCTTTGAGTACAGTTTTAAAAACAGGGTCTATGCCGGCTTTATGCTGGCGAAACAGTCACGTTAAAATGTTTATTCTAGTGCTTGAGAAGATTATGAAAACTACCAGGCTTTGGCGAATGCCAATAGCGTAACGAGAGGGTCGTTGAATGCTTCTGACACATTATAAAAGTCTCAGCCTTAATTCTTTGTTACCAGCCACAGCGTCAACAAAGTGCGCTTAATTCCTTACACGTGTGTAGCGGTGATACCACGCTACTCTGAAGAATGGCGAATAATGGCGTAGGGGGTACCTTGCAAATGCGCCTGCATATAAAGTCTGTTGTATAGCGTGGTAGGCGAGTAATAAAATAATGGCCACGCATCACAGAATGGAAACAAGGTGACAGCTGGCCATTTAAAGCATTCACATATGCCACTACAAAGGGCACAGCCATTATTCTTGTTTATTACCAACCACCTCATTAACAAAGCACACGCACATAACACGTTACACATACGTAGCGGGTCTCCGCCGAATGACCAATCGCGTAAGGAATCACACTTCACGAAATTATGAGCATATATAGCAAACTGCACGTGTCTCAAGCACACAGACACGATGTCACAATAATTATAGTTCTACACTCTGCTACTTGGTGTTCGTATATTTGCTCGCCTATTGTAATTATTAACGCTTTTTACAGAGACTGCACTGGTCTCAAGCACTTTTCTTTTGCGTCAGACGCCCTATGCGTTCGCCATATGTTACGTGATCGTGGAATGAAACTTGGATATTTTAGAATCGCCGTCCAGGTTTTAGTCACTGTGAAATAAGTACGGACAAGATTTTAGAACTATAATCTTTAATCCTCTTCAGCAATTATTGATATACGGTATATCAGAAAGGCATTCCTTCAAACGGCAATGTTACGCGACATTTTAGTGAAATGCTCTGTGCTCTCTTCCTGTGTCGCTTCGATCTGTCACAGCCATTGTGCGACTAAATTTTTTCTGAGTGAACCGCGAGCACTGGTGAGCTCGAGACCCCTCGCTTGAGACTCCTGCCATAAAAATATACTTACAGTTCCAGATTGTTACCCGAAGAGAATGTACTTAATGCTCTAGAAAGGCCGCTGTTGCTGTTTTTATTGTAACAGTGCTGCGCGTTCTACGCAGTACGTGAATATTTTAAATATTTTGCAGTAAATCTGTCATGAGGTCAATACCAGGGCTAATTTTTGGTGCCTTATTTGTCAGCCGCCACCACCGTTTCTACTTGTAACTGCTATCATACGAAAAAAAAATTAAAAAATAGAATACCGAACACAGCACGGGACTCGTATTCGAGCCCTCTGCGCGGCAATTCAGCATTCAACCACTGAGCTACACTGGTTTTCCCCTCATCATTTTCTGTTGAACGTCACACACCATAGCGACGTGAGAGTTATATGAGAACACAAAATAAACATGCACAACAAAAATGACGCAAAAAACGCTAACGGCCGTCAAGCATTGACAAATAACTTAAGGTGGTGGTTCTACTGTCGCCATATTGCGAGTAGTTCTCGAAAACACACCAGACGGCGCCACCAAGTCAGGACTGGAAGGCCTACACTTCGGAGGTGAACTGCCACACGTGTGCCGGCGTGCCACACTGCATGACGAGGGGTTGCAAATCGCGCTGACATGGTTCGAAGAAATGAGGCACTGAGCAGGGGCTTTTTTTTTCCTCCCCTTCAACGACAACTCCATCTCTCTCCATGCTCACTAGCCCCTGACCCCTGCGATCGCTGCTTTTCAAGAGATCCCTCATGTAGGCTGCGTAGCCTGCTTGGCCAGCTGCTCTACGTTCCATATAGTGCCGGAATGCGGGGTTGAGTGAAAAACTATCGCGGAGGTCACAACAATGTATACAACGGAGATCCAAACTTGGACTATGAGTATTCATGCGAGGTTCAACGGAACAGTTCGTTCTACAAATAATTGGGGTTGCTGGAGCATGATGCGGTTCGGTGGCACAGGAAAAGGCAAATTATATTTGACTATGTATACTTCCTTCCCAGTATGACCTAAGCTTCCGAATTTTCAAAAAAAAAACAAAAAAAACGAGTAGTTAGGCAAATCGCGTGCTAAGAAGTGCGGCCGCTGTGACTCACGGTGCCCAACACGTGCCGGCTGCATAATCATTAGTTTTCCCCACTATACGTAGCGTAATTTATTTCATTAGAATTGAAACTTCAGCAGGCTAGTATGAATTCATGTTTTGGTTGATGCAGCGTTTATTTGTCACGTTGTCGTACGCAAAGCATCGGACTAGTCGACAAACTATTTTTATGACGAAAATAAAGCAATTACCTCTTGTGTGTCAAATGAGCGAGACTCGCACATGCGTGGCCTGAATGGTCCAGGTGCGTTATTCCCTTGTCCAAGGAACGACTTCTCTATTCGCGTACGCTATTTCTACATCATTTTTTTTCCTGTAAAGGTCGTGGCAATAACATGAAGAGTCATCGTTTCACCCAAATCAGTTATTGACTGCAAGCTCGTAGATTGGAGGCCGTTACCTCAAGCTCTATAAACATCTTATGATAAAAACTGGGGCGGATTCACACAAACCTCCCAGGAGTGCAACAAG